AAGAAGAAGTCTGCTCTCTTGGCAGACGAGGAGGGCATGACAGAGAAGGAAAAGGCCCAGAGTATTGCGCGATTAATGTCGAGAGCGGCAAAGAAGAAGCCCAAGCAAAAGGTCAGTGTCGTTGTGGCCAGAGGAGGTAACAAGGGTATCAAGAACAGACCGAAGGGCACCAAGGGCAAATACAAGATGGTTGATGCTAGGTTGAAGAAGGATGTTAGGGGCGAAAAGAGGGCAGCGAAGAGGAACAAAAAGAGGTAGATGGGCATAATTCATATCATTTTGCGTCCCCAGGTGTGGCTCCAGAGGACACTTCTGGCTGGTCCACTCAGCAGTCGGTACCACTTTTTGAAAAAGCTTTGAACATCATATTTTTCGACATGTTTTACCCACTTTCGACGAAATCTGCTACATATCTCGACATACGTGCTCATGCCTAGCCGTGTGGAGCAGCAGCCATCATACCTTTGCTTGCGTAATTACCTATAATAACTTTCGCATGATGAAGGCAGTTTGCGGTGACTTCAAACAAAGTCAAACCAGGCAGTGTCACCAGATTCAACGACTCACAAACACCTGTAACAGAGAATAGGGTATCTATATTGCCGGCCTCGGGTTTGCGGGGCATTGCTAAGTGTGTTTGACATGCATTCAGGCTATCGCGCATTGTTTTCATTGCAAGTTTGTATAACAAGATAGTATTTGCTAGTTCTCTTTTGGGTGGCTATGTGACAAACGAAGCAATGCACAATATTTCGTTGAGATGCTTGTATATAGGTAAGCCATTTTTACTCTCTGTATTTCATCACGGAGAGCTTCCAGTACCTTACACCATCTTCTCGTTGCTTCTACATTCAAATCATACATACAGTTCATTCTTGATTTCAACTCTACATATTGGGTACCCTCAGCTTCGAGACGATGAGCGATTTCGAACGTCTGACGGAGAAGTCCCTGCTTCGGCATATGAATGACGACCCTTGTGTCATTTGTGGTACTAGCGGTCATGATGCATACGACGGTGCTTGTCCGAAACTCAATGTACCAACTGCAATGGATTCGCCTCTCGCTAGTATCTATGGTCCGGGAAAAGCCAATGCTGCTCGTCAGACAATTGTCAAGTTCCGCAAGTCGAAGAAGCCGCGGTATCAGGATCTGGCGGAAGAAACAACAGCAGATGCGAATGTGGAAGCCTTAGCACGGGTGCAATTGGAGGACCAGACCCAGAATTTACCTGAGGGCTCATCCAAGGACGCAGTCACGGATGCAACAAAGGATACAGTCGAGGATACAGTCAAGGGCGCAGTTACAGATGAGGACTCCATGCTGAACGGAATCCTTCTGTTAGTCGGTCGCTCAACTGAAGGTCTGACGGCGGTTCGCGACATCACACAGACAGATCCCGTAGAGACTTGTGCGCCGGATTTCGTCAATGTACCGGATAAAGACCCAGTTGGCCCAGGCAATGTGTTCCAACCCGAGCTTGCCCTGAGCAAGGCGAAGAAAGCCGAGTTTCCCCTCCGAAGAGCATTTGCTCAAGCATCGTCAGACGTGCTCACGAATCACTTTGAAGTTCGCTTCAAGCCGAAGACCCGCTTCTTTGTCTACGAAATCCTCAAGATTCCTGGTGGGAAGAGCAAGCGCAAAGCCAAATACATCTTCAAGACTGCCGAAGAGGCATGGAGTGTACTTAGAGATAACAAGCAATACTATGCCACAGATCATGTTAAGACAATTGTTGCGTGGAAGAACCTCCATGATACGATTGGATATCAGCCTGTTATCCCTGGAGATGATGGTACTCGAGCTGGCGCTGTATGGCAGCCTGAGGCTATCGCAGATGGAAGTGAGAGAGTGCAGCTCTTCCTCAAACTCCACCGCGAACTTGATCTTGACGGACTGTATCGCTACATGTATGCAAGTCACCAGGAGAGTGATCCAGAGTTCAACTTCAACCCCATAATCAGCGCGCTCAACCTTGCGATTGCCAACAGCATGACTTCAAACGTCTTCCAGCAATCCAGTAACAAGTTCTTTGTCAAGGGTGGTTACGTTGACTTGCCAGGAAAGCGCTCTCTGAAATCCCTGTGTGCGATTCGAGGCTACTATTTTACGATCAAGCCAGGAATGCAGAAGATTTTCCTCAACGTCAACCCTGCTACCAGCGCATTCTTCAGACCCATTACGGTTGGCGAGTTCCTGGCTGATGACACATTCTCTGAGGACGAGCGAGTGCGGCTCCTCAAAACACTGCGTGTGTATATTGAATATGAACGCTTGCCGAACAAAGACAATCAGGACCAGATCAATCGCCTCAACAAGCCCCAGAACCGTGTCAAATCCGTCTTTGAACTGGGTGGGAAATTCAGCGATCCGAGCATGAAGTTTCTAGATTCAACAGATCCTAATAAGCATATGCGTGTTGAGAAGCATCTGAGGAATGTATTTGGCAAGAATTTCAACAATGACCTTGCGGCTATCAACGTTGGCAATGAGAGGGAGCCAGTCTATTACCCTCGTGAATATCTGCGAATCCTGCCGTACCAGATTTATAAGAAACTTCTTCCGGAGGAACTGATCGACAATATGCTAAAACTCGCGGCACATGTACCCGATACCAGCCGACGTCTCATCGAGGTCGAGGGAATGAAAAGTCTCGGAATCCTGCATCCTAATGGAGAACAGCCGCTCGTAAGTCACATTTCAACTATTTCTTTCTGAAGCACTGAAACTAACACATGTATTCTTCTAGCCTGGCTGTTCGCACCTCCTGATCAAGCCGACAATGCTCAAGATACCATCCGCGCAATTGAGAGCTCTCACCATTTCGTACGGCTCCGGAACTCCTGACGCAAGACCGAATGACAAAGCTCAATGGAACCTCGGGAAACTTAAGAAGTTTTTCGATTCTCCTGGTTATTCTACCAAGAAGCAGATCAACTACCTTTTGCTCGTCGAGGCCAGCTTACGAAACGACAGAGATACGGTGATCACCTACCAAAATACATTCAACGATCTCCTGAGTCGATACAACATCTGTGGCGGTGCAAAATGCTTGAGTTCGGTATTAGTCCAAGGCCTTCGAGGGGTACCGTACGACTCCATCAAGGCGACGATCCAGGAATCCATCCAGGGCATGAAGCAGGGCCATCCCAGGGCTGACTTTGTGATCTTGCTACTGAAGAACAAGAGCATCCCGATTTACTCTGCTTTCAAGGATGTCGTGGATCGTTATGAGGCTCTTCAGTCTCTCTGCATGACTCAAGCACCAAATGTAAAGCGAGGAACCTTCAATAAGGACATCACCCAGTACATGGCCAACATCATGATGAAGGCGAATCTCAAGTTTGGCGGTAGCAATCATATTGTTCATTTTGACAACGCAGGCACCAAGAACTTGTTACACGAAACTCTAGTCCTTGGAGCAGATGTTACTCATCCCGGCACTGGCTCACTGGTTGGATGTCCCTCGATTGCTGCCGTCGTTGGCTCCATCGATTCTAATGCAGCCAAATTCCGAGGCTCCATGAGACTCCAAAGGACCTGTAAGAAAGAGGTAAGTCTCAGATGCCACCGACGATCTCCAGATACCGGCTAACAAGTATTGGCAGATCATCGACGACCTCGAGCCCATGGTCTTGGAACGCCTTGAAGCCTACCGCCGTGCAACCAAAACCCTCCCCAAGAAAATTCTCTACTACCGCGATGGCGTCAGCACCGGGCAATTCGCCCAAGTCCGCGACGAAGAGCTACCACAAATACGAGCCGCATGCAAAACCATCGGCGTCGCCAATATCAAAATCACCGTCGTTGTCGCCGTAAAGCGCCACTCAACCCGCTTCTTCCCCACCTCTATCGCATCCGCAAACGGAAACTGTAGACCAGGCACTCTCGTCGACCGTGCAATCACCTTGCCGCACTACTCAGATTTCTACCTGCAATCGCACCACGGCCTCAAGGGCACAGCAATACCAACGCACTACATGGTCATTGCCAACGAAATGAATCTCAAAGACACGGACCTCCAGGAACTCACATACAAGCTTTGTTACACGTACGCGCGGGCTACACTCGGTGTATCGTACCCGCCTCCAGCATACTATGCAGATCGGCTATGCGATCGCGGTCGAGCGTACCTGCGGAACTGGTTTAGTCCCGACAGAGGCAGTACAGAGCATCAGGGTTACACGAGTCTTGTGAACACTATCAAGCACAAGGAGCAGGGCCGCTTGGCGCGGCGGAAGGCGCATTTGGCGCCACAGACGGGGAAGGGTGCGCAGAGGAAGTCGCCGGATGAGATTGCGGTGGAAAGGGAGCATGAGAAGTTTGTGGAGAGCGAGATTGAGAAGGCGGTGTTGAATCGTGCGGTTTTGGAGTGGAATCACGCGCGCTCGGGGGGGCCGGGGCCTTGGGCGAAGGAGCTGGATGATATTATGTTTTGGATGTGAGTTATCCAACTGGGCGACATGTTGGATAAGACGCGCGTTGCATAGTTGGGTTTGGACGGGATGTCTTCTCTTTTCTTTTGATTGTTGTTTCGAAGTCGTCTCTTTTCTCCCTTATTCAGTTTAGACTACCTTCTCCCTTTCTTGTTCACTATAGGCTGCTGTCTTTCTCCTTTCCGTCGGTAGATTATAATTTTTAAGCTCAATAGAATTCCTGTTTGACACTCTACCACTTCTTTCCATCACATTGATCTGACAACAGCACGGGCGATTCGACATCTGGAAATGATCGGGGTTCCCCATGTTCCCTCAAACAAGTAGATGACTATTGTAAGTGATACAATTGGCTGTTTGTATACATTCACATGCAAATCTTTGTCAGGACCGTGATTTGCAACAAGCGGAGAAGATGGGATCGAAATCTACGACATGCGCATATTGTATTGCATCGAAGACGTGCGAATGACGCAGCAAATCTCATCTCACCATATTCGGTTGTCCTAAACTGCCAACACCGTGGCTACCCCATCCTCGTGACGTGTATATGTATTCCCAAGAATGCGCCGCGGAGCAACCTCACAGGTGCAACGGTGCGCTTCGATACCTTGGCATGGTATAGTCAGATGCATCCAATCAATTTGGGGGCGATGCAAATCAAAATCTGTCAATGCCGATTCGCCAGCTGCAATAGCTCCCTTCCTTTACCCAATAACGTGTCTTGTCAAGAAATGCGGCTTTGTGTATCGACAGTGGAGTAGCAGTGTCAATGGTGTTGTAGTGACGTTTAAGTGATGCCGTCCAATAGGCACGGTTCCGATTCGAGACGCAGTACTAAGCGTGTTCCTAGCCCCAGATCTCCACTACGTCAAGCTACCATCAACCCACATCCACGCACAGACAAACGGCGTTCACCTCCTCACCAATCATCAAAGCCTCATTACTGCACAGCTGAACATGTTGCGATACAATGACGCACAAAGTAAACACTTCCTTTCTCGCAAAATAAAAGCGCCAATGGAAGAAGCCAAGCGGGAAAATCCTATCACATAGCACACTCACCCCTCCCCCTTGCTCACTCTCAATCAACAAACATATTAAAAGCCCATCTCTGTGCCTCCAATCTGCTACTTTTCTTTCTTCAGAATGTCCTTCCATCGCACTTTTGTATCCTCCATCTCCAGAGCCGCTTTCAGACCTCAGGTCAGCCGTGTCACAGTAAACAACCAATTCGCCTCATTCCGTGCCCGTGTCGCAGCCATGTCGACGATTTCAGAAGCCATCATCAAGGACCACCGTGAGCTCGAGTCGTACTACAACGAGGTCATCAACTCAGACGATGTCGACCACAAGACACGATTCGGAAACCAGTTTACTTGGGAGCTTGCCCGACACTCTGTAGCCGAGGAGCTGCTCGTTTACCCTGCCATGGAGAAGTACATTGGCAAGGAGGGTCACGCACACGCTGAGAAGGACCGTCAGCAGCACCACCAGGTTAGTCTACTTATCTTCGCCCAAATCTCCACATGCATGATTACTAACGAAATATCAGGTCAAGGAGCTCCTCAAAGAATTCCAAAACATGAAAGCCACCGACTCCGCCTACGTCCCTAAGCTCAAGGAACTCTGGGGCATCCTCGGCCAGCACATCAAGGAGGAGGAAGCCGACGACTTACCTGCTCTTGAGAACGCACTAGCGAAGCCCGACAACAAGGGTGCGTCGGAGAGTCTGGCCAAGAATTTTGGACGCACAAAGGCGTTTGTGCCATCGAGGAGTCATCCCAGCGCTGGCGAGAACCCGCTCTTTGAGGGCCCGATGGGCATGCTGGCCGCCCCCATTGACCACATTGCCGATATCTTCCGCAAGTTCCCAGACAACACTATCAGCCCGAATCCATCGACGAAGTAAAGGGTTGAGGAGTGGACTAAGTTGAGCGATGCACGGATTGGCGTGATGGAGTTGTGAGAGTTCCAATGCGATGATTAGTCATGGGGATTGTCTTTGTAGCATGAAGAAATGAATATGAAAAACTTCACAAGATATATGTTTACTTTGCCGTCCACTGTAATGGATTCCGAGTGCTGATTTCACTTGTCACCTCACCATTGCCGCTGCGAATATGGAAAACAGTATAACTTCTGCACATCATCTTTCCCTGTCAGTCAACTCGAAAAACTCTAAGAAATCACCAAAACGTTGGGTTGAATTCGACGAAGCCCCAGGCCTTGACTTGGTAGGTAAGCACGTCAAGAGAACAATAAGCCAAGATACGCAATGCTAATGCAATCCCGCCGAAAAAAAGGTACACCCAATGGAATATCAACTTTGCACACTCTGCTCCCCTTCAAGTCTCTCCAACAAAGCCCTCATCTTCTCCAGCAACTCCGGTATACGAAACGGCTTCCCAATCACATCATCCATGCCCGACGCCCTCGCCTCATCAATCTGGCCGCACCGAATATTCGCCGTGACGGCAATAATCGGTACATGCCTAACCACTTGCCCGCGCTGCTCCATCTCGCGTATCTTCCTACAGCACGTGAGCCCGTCCATTTCGGGCATCTCGCAGTCCATAAGGACCATGGAAAGCGGTATGCCGTTTAGAGTGCAGAACTGAGTTTTGGCAATGTGGTCGAGGGCGTGCACGCCGTTGTCGGCGGTGGCGGTTATGCAGCCTGCTTTTGTGAGTTGTTTGCAGAGGACCTTTTGGTTGAGTTGGTTGTCTTCTACGACGAGGACGTGGAGTTGCTGGGTCGGTTTGTTGGTTTGCTCGCTAGGATTGTCGTGGATTCTAGAAAATGCTTGCGGGGTGTTGCGCAAACAGTATGCGGGGATTTCGGTATTAGGTGACCTTCTTGCGCGTTCTTCGAGCAGACGGCAGTCTTCAGACGTCATTCTTCTGCTCTTTAGATAGAACCCGAATGTACTGCCGACGCCTGCTTCCGAGGTACAACCAATCTGTCCACCATGCAGTTCGGCTAGCTGTCGCGAGATGAAGAGCCCAAGGCCACTACCGCCATACTTTCCGTGTGTGCGCGGTGATGCCTGGGCGAACTTCTCAAACAAGAGCTTTTTCTGTCCCGGTGTAAGTCCGCAGCCAGTATCTTGAACCTGGAACAAGAGGAAGACCGGCGAACCGGTGCCCCAGTCATCTCCATTGCCACAATTAGTAAGTTTCATTCGTTGTGGGACAAACTCAAAGCCATTGGGAAGTTCAAAATCTGGTTTTTCGGCGTGTGCGCGAATTTGGATAACAATGGAGCGTGTTGGCCGATCTTGAGTGAACTTGATCGCATTGGTCATGAGATTCACGATGATCTGTAGCAGACGGCCAGAATCGAGCATCACCCAATCGATGTCCAGTTCTTGCAGGCTTGAGTGCGGCTTGAATTCAAGGTTGATATTTTTGGCCACTACTTCGGGACGAAGCCTAAATACAGTGTCAATAATTTGGAGCATATTCAGGGAGAAGTGGAGAAGAAGTTCACTAACATAGAAATGGCACGCTCAATGACAGCGACAGGCTGTGAAGGGATGGGAGTCATGCGCAAAAGGTTGGAGTCTAGTTTCGATACGGTAAGGATGTCATCGACGATCGACTTCTGATGCTGAACACAAAGAGCGATATTATTCGCAGCTTCGATGCAACTTTTTGCAACGTTTCTATCCTCATCACATGAGAATTGATGGACACTGAGAGTATCTCCGATGTCGTCGGCGGATATCAGAATTGCCGACAATGGATTGCGCATTTCGTGCGAGGTAATATCAATAAACTCGTTTTGCTGGCGCTTTGCCTCTTCTGCTTCTCGTATTCTTCGTTCCTGGAGACCTTGGGCCCATTTTAGGTGCGATATATCCGTAACGGTGCCCATAACGCTTATCAGTTCACCGTCTGGACTTAGCTCCGGCTGACAAGACGCAAGAACCCAATAGTCGATGGGTTCGCCGTCAATGTCTTTTGCTTGAAACTCGGGATGTGCATATTGAAGCTCCCAACTTGTCGGCTTGTGGGTTTTTATCAAGTCTAGTTGTTGACGATTCGTTAGCGTACCTCATAGAGCAGAGGTAATTTACAGATGTCACTTACCATCCCACATATTCTTTGAAGCCTCTAAGCTTTGCTCTGCCATCACCTCGTCGGGCATGAAGTTTCCAATGGTATCATGAGATACTCCGGTCATCTCAAAGTAACGGTCATTTGCCTCCAATAAGTGCCCCTCGGCGTCAAACAAACACATACCCAGAGGCGAAAACTCGGTCATTCGACGCATCCGACTGGTCTGGAGTTGGAGTTGCTGAGAGAGTTCCTCCCGCTGTAAGGCAGCGACTTCAGCTGCACGCTTGCTTCGCCGTACCTCGTCTTCAAAAAGAAGAACTGACGCTAACGAAGTCGCAATCTGTCGATTGAGCATGGACGTGAAGGATTCGTACTCTTTGTCATAAGCTCTACGAGGGTTGATTCCGAGGAGCAACAACGCACAAACATTGTCCGCGTTTGTTGGCCGAAGAGGTAGTATCATCGCTTCCCTGCAGGGATCCTTGTAACCTCTCCACTCAACGATCTCAAGTAATGACCGCGGGAGTGTTCCATTATCCACATGTAACATCAACGGCTCCAATATTCGCGTCGCTTGAATGAAAGCTGAGATCAGAGTATCATCACTCTCCGTCAAGGAAAATCTTTCAGGACAAGCCTGATGTCCTCTCGGTACTCCAATGGATCCTTCAATGATACAAGTCTTTACGTAACTCTGACTGGTATTAGGCGATTCCAAAGAGCTATGTTCGATCTCTTCTGCATCAACAATCGAGTACAAGAGTGCGAAAGGCACGTCGTAGTCGTTGTGAGCCAGACCGTCCAGCACCCTACCCCAAAACTCTTTTACAGTGCGTGTTGCGTTCAGGCGCTCACCCAGGTAGCGTAATAACTCCATTCTTCTGCTTCTGAGCGATTCGACAGTCGTATCAAATGCATTCATATAGACTAGATTCCAATTATGAATTAGTAAGATATTTCATGTCCAATGATGTTCGCTCAATGAAAACTGGGTTGATATATCTGTGGTTTTTTGCGCACTTAATGCCAATACCATTGTATCCATTTGACCTCGATGATATTGTATGGTGGGTTATTGCAACAATACTTACAACCAAGAATGAGGTCAGTACCGCCAAAAACTGGAACCTAAAGTCATGTAAGCGACACATAAACGGTCAAGTCAGGGTGTGGATGCCCACAAAAGACCACGTGAAGAATGCCTCTTCCAGATAGCCATGCCGTATGATTGGTAACATTTGATTGAGGTTGAGCTGAGCCTGACCGGTTCGAGCACTTTCGCGCATCGTAGCGCGAACTGAATCCCACATTTCGTGAAAAGGGCCTGAAAAGCCAGTACCCATCAAAGCAGGATGTTTGTTGCCCGCAATGATATCTCTATGAGACTCGTTATAGAGCATGGTCAAGTCCTCACCCCAGAAAACAGATGACGGATGGGGATTTCGCATGACTAAGCAAACGATTTCTCGGAATTGAATCGTCCATGTATTCATAGCGCCCAAGGGCGTCTTTGACCAGTCAATACTTCTTACGAATGTTAAATGCTCTGGAAGAACGCCTTTGGGGTTCGCAGCTGTCCAGTCGGGTACGGGAGATTCAAGTGCTGCCAGGGTGACGGCGGAGACGCTTGATGTGCGACGTTTTTCTTGCTCTGAACTGATGCTTTTTTGTGGAAGTTCAGATTGTTCAACATTCTCGACTATGTCATGTGTCGAGATAGCTGCAGCAGAAGCCGAAGTTTTCTTGTCGTCTCTCACCCGAACACCATGCCATTTCTTCTCAGACTCGGGTGCAGATGCCGACAGTGGACCCCCTCCTGGAATATCTTCGTTGCGAAAGACCGGATGGCCGGTGATCACTCTCCAGTTGGGCTGAATACAGAAAACGGTCCATATAAATTTGGCGTACTCGATCGTCAATGGAAAGATGTCTCTAGAATCTCGAAATGTACTGATAGTTGTTGCCCAAATTCTAAATTCTTCGTAATTTGCGCCGCGGTCGCTATCTTTGGGATCTTCCCGTGCAGAGCCAATGACCTTGAGAAATAGTTGCTCCTGCCTCTTCAACGCAGCATTGCAGAATATCGGTCGCACCGTTAGTTGATTTTCATGGACACGATTTTCCATATCAAGCACAAACGTCGGTCTGTTGTCCATGTCCAACAACTGTGGAAGGCTTGATGTGTTCAGGCGATTAAGGGCGCCATCTTGTCGGTCTTTCTTCGGGCGAACAGGAGGAGCCGTCCTCAGGGGATTCTCAGGAACTTGACTATCCATGGAATCCAGCGCTCTAGGATTTTTCACCATATGCTATGGTGTGTCGAGATACATTGGGAATAGTGTAGGGATAGGGGTGTGAGTGTAAAAGAATTGAGTAGTAGGGTGAGCCGCGTGAGACTGCGACATTTACGGACGTGCGAATGGAGGAAAGAGGTCCCGACACTTGATCGGCAGCGACAGATCTTGAGACGTGGCTACCAGGGTGGCTTGCCAAGCGGAAAGCGGACTTAGTCAAGACAAGATCCGCCTGATTATAGTGATATGTAGTAGAAATCACAGCGTGATGGAATGAGGTACAGCACGAATGTAGGTGAGTGCATCGTCTTTTTCGGTTTAGCGCAGACTGCATACGTAAGTAGTCTCAGCCGCAAAGTGTCCAATATACTACTTACAGTCACCCGTAGCATTAGTCTTAGAAAGTACCCTACGTCGAATGATCGATCATCTCTTCGCTAAGTTAAGGATGCGCATCCCGCTATATGCATTTCGCACTACTTGGACGCAGATAATGATGAAGAATATGAGTGGTCTCCCTGACTTACAGAATCGAAGTTTCTTAGAGAGTGAGTTCTTGGTCACGAGGGAATAAGCGGAAAAATCTGCCATAACTTTCGAGAGTATGATGTTTTATCAGAATGAAAGCTTTCTCATGAAGCAGGTACTTTTTTTCGCTTTGCGTGTAGAGAATACATTAAATAACTATGAGAGGCTATAATAGGACCAACCATATTATATTGGAGTACTACTAGAATAAGTATTTGGTTCATCGAGCAATACATCATATCACTACTGCATATTTCTCTCATTTAAGTGAAGATCTAATGGAGTATTTAAGTGGCCCATACCAGTCTGCAAACTTTACCAAATATGCGCATTGACAGCAGGAAAAGCTCATATCGCTATTGTGGAGAAAATAGCCCTTGGAAATGGCAATTCGGGTGATCTTTATATCCGTATATAAATCGTGAAATCATGCTCTAGACTTACTTAGAGTAAAGTTCGAAAGAAAAGTAATGATGCCAGGTGCGCTTGGTAAGCAGTATTCGGACTTGCACCAGTTGCGTTATGCTTTTGCCAGCTCAGTCTAGCGAAGAATATCACCTAGATTCTCAAGAAGAGAAATCGAGTTCTGGTTTATACAAATGCCGTGCTACAGTCTTTGAACTTCCATAACCATATCTAAACCAGCTGCGTGACGTAAAATATTGTGAGACTTTTCTTGACACGGAGATGTGTTCAAGACGATTAGAGTTAAGCCAATCGATATCGAAACGCTGAGTACAACAAGCAACTGTGACAACAATTTTTTTAAATTACTTTTGTGGCACTCCAAAGTATCAGCCGGGTCTTCTTGGATGACAAATGCCTACACCGCATCTGCCTTACGATGTCTCAAATCCCTCGAAAACATGCCAAAAAATACTACAGTGGATACGAAGTTCTGCCTTGAAACTGACAAAACCCGCAATAGTTTCGTGCCAGGCCTCCACTGTACACCTCATCAACGCCCCAGAGGGACCAAACCGCACGGCACTGCTCTACCATTTTGACACTCGGTACATACAATCACCCGCCTCGCGTAACCTCACGATGATACAACTATCATGTTTGTAATCAAGCACCACGTCAGGCTACTTCTATCTGCCCTGCAGTAGCGGCTCTCCAGTTGCGTTTTCCCGGCACATCGCTCCGGGCTCCGATTGGCTGAGCGCCCATCTCTACACCATCAGGCCCACCAGCTTTGTAATCCAAATCTCCAGCTGTAGCAATTATCGCGTCTCATTCACACCGAATCAAGTTGTAGGGTGGAGGCTGCGAAAACAGTTGCAACGTGGTTGCTCGGGTCGATCGGCCGACCGACCGGTGAGTCGTTTTGCGGGTGCGGGTGCGAGAGAGGAGGCATACTTAAATACCTCTTGCTAGCTCGCAAAGTCAGTAGCATCTCCCTCTCCACCTCTCTCTCTCTCCATACTCCAGACACACTCTTCGTCTTTACGCACAAACATGTCTTCTCTAGCCTTCTATACCATGGCCATCTCGCCCGCCATCAGCGCCATGAAAAACGCTCGCGCCTTCATAAAAAAGGGCCACGAACACGCCCTCTCCAATAATATCGACCCCGAAACCCTTCTCACTGCAACCCTACACCCTGATATGAAAGACTTCCGGTTCCAAATCTACCGCTTGACCGACGCCGTCAAGTTCATGCCGCCCCGCATCAACCCAGCGCTCGAAACCATTACGCTGCCAGACGACGAACAGACGTTTGAGGAACTGGAGGCTCGCATCGAGAAGACGCTCAAGTACCTTGAGAAGTTCAAGCCTGCTGATTTTGAGGGCAAGGAGGCGAATGAGGTGCTGATGAAGTTCCATAATGGCTCGCAGATAAGATTGCCAGCCGTGGATTATGTGTACAAGTTTGCGCATCCGAATATGTGGTAAGTAAATTAGACTTCTGAGATGAGACAGAGACGGTTTGTGGGAGAGACTAGGACAGTATTTGCTAATTACGATATTAGGTTCCACATGACAACTGCATATGGCATTCTCAGGATGAAGGGTGTGGATGTAGGCAAGTTTGATTTTTTGAATGGTGCAAAGGAAATCGTAATTGAAAAGGGGGAGGAGCAAAAATAGACAACCAATCATTAGAAGTCTTTACAAAAAGAGAAAGCATTTCGTCGTAACTAAGTCCCATCGTTGTCAATATTGAACGCCCACCCCGTGACTACAGCACCAACTAGCGCGTCCATGGCGCTGCTCTGCGAACTAGCATCCGCGGGATCGACAAATGGGCCGTCCCAGTCCACACCGAAGAACGGAAGCCCTTCATCCATTTCCCTGTTCTTCTTCCAGATCGATTGCGCATTTACGTGAATCGTCGCGGAAAACATGTCGTCTGGATATGCTTGCTGTAGCCGGACCAGGTTTCGCATAAAGGCGCCCTTGAACTGCCCACCATCAAGACCACATTCTGGCTCACAGGCATCGTGAATGACTCCATTGGAACCCGAGAGCGCAGAAATAGCTGCTCGCGCAATACGGTGTGCAGCCTCAAGAAAGTTAGTTTCCGATGGAGAGTCGGCGCGCTGGAGTTCGACGAGGCCGCCGAGTATCACGCCTTGGTTGTATGACCAGATCGTCTTGTTATTGTTCTCACAGTCTTCTGTCAAGCCATCGTTGACGGTACCGTTGATGTTGATCATTCCGCTCTCGAAGAACCAATCGTGACTCTTCATCGCCCAATCAAGGTATGTCTCTTTCTTATGCTCGACCCGATTCGCTAGATGCGCTGCAGTGCTGAGGAAGAGTTCATTCGCGATGGCATTAACGTAGTTCTTTTTCCAGCTCCAGTATATACCGCCATCGCAATAAGCGCCCCATGTCTTTGCTACTGCGAGAAAGATGCCTTCGGCAAGGTCAAGATACGGTTGGTGGTTGGTAACATCATAAGCATTGATCCAAGCCAGCGCCCACCAAAGATCGTCATCGTAGAAGCCGTCAAGCCAGTCGTGTGGGTCTGGACTCTCAATATGATGTTCAGCCTCTGCACTTGAAATGTTCTTAGTCCCATCTTTCCAATTCGGCGGGAACTTGCAACGGGGCTCGTAGGTTATCGGATCAAGTTCCTTCATATATCCGCTTTCAACATGCATAGAACCATCTTGATTGTCAGTTGTACTGTTCGATGGTTCATCTTCGTAGCCCGGTTGAGGGTTCATGATTGGTGCACGAGCAAGTGCATTCGAGAAAACATCCCTCGTTAGAGCCTGCAAGTCTGCGTCCTCGGGAAACGCCTTTGCGTAATCACCAAACGTTGCGACGATATTTCCTGCGTTCCACCATCCTGTCGTTTCCCAGAGGCCTGTGGTCTCATTATACCATGTCTGGAGAGCTGACAGAGCGAGCTTGGCGCGGGATCCTGGGTCGATATGTTTTTCACTGTCGCTATGTGCGTTAGAAATTGCTGTAAGAATGAATAATAATTGATATAGATGGCGGTAAGAAAACATTGTAAAGATACAGCTGATAATAGGTTACTGAAATTAGAAGACTTGGGAATAACTAAATCACATTTGAGACGCTGCCCGCAAACTGGAAATCGCTTGGGTTGGGGCATAAGCAGTAGTTCATGACCGCGGATGGCAGCGTCGACATCAGCGTAATTCTTTCGTATGGCTTGTAAACGTTCCATTGTTCGTGTCAAGGGGCAGCTCGTTGTAATGATACAACCATAGGGGAAAAGCAGCATCGTCTGTGCGTGATGTCTGACAATTGATCGATCGGTTCTCAAACCTGAGAATAGCAGCCAAAAAACCTTATCCGAGATCGGATCCATGGTCCAATAGCTTCTCGTCCAATATGGTTTGCCAGGTTTGTGAATTGAAGACAAAAATAGGCTGGACCAGAATTCCTTTTCGAAGACGTAACAGTCTGTAAACTTGGTGGCTCAAGGGATCTGGTCATGAAACAAAAACAACGTATGCCTTGCCAACCGAAAAAGTACACTCTGTAACACATATGAAAACTAGAAAATGAAATTGATCGAATCTCACTTCTTGATCATGCTCACAGGCACTTGAAGCGGCCGAGACATTTGAGGACCCAGACCCTGCCAGTCTCGCTTTGGCGATAGTGCTTCCAGGAGGGGTTGGATGTTGCGGGATACCCATGTGCCAGGCGGGCTTGTTAGATGCGCCAAATTTGTCGAAAAAAGTAGCGATGTAAGGATGATGAATGTATACACATTGGATACGCTGTGCTGGCGTAGCAAGAAAGTATGATCATGAGGCATCTTCAAGGGCATCTGAGATTGTGTAGAAGTCTACACCTTCAGTAAACTCCCTAGCAGATGATATATGTATAGAAAATCGAGGCACGTGCCCGTTTGTGTCAATAAGGCGTTGGATGCACACCTAGTAAGGCAGCTATCGCTTTTCTGTTAGGTCCAGAGCTTGGACGATCATCCACGAGACGACCAACTAGTGCGACATTACCCCACTCGGCGATGCGCCTTCTTGCTTTGGACGCCGGCTGACACCAACAACACGATTGCTAATTTACGGGGGATCCGCAAACACCATCGCTATTGGAGCCTGTCCAACAACCTTGCCAACGGCCCGCCTGCTGGCCTACCAACACCACACTACTCACGGAAATGCGCGCTTCATCGATGTTGCATCCACATTGAAGGTTAGAGCCATAACTCTCTTCCCCCTTATGGCAGTTAAGCTCTGGTGCGATGACGTTGCTTCATAAAGGTATCGGCCCAATTGTTTTAGTATGCGGATGCACAGCTGCTACCCTGGTTGCTGACATCAATATTTTCGTCGTTTGACAGCATTACGACTGACATGATCAGGCAATTAAAATATCGTGACCAAAGTCTTTAAGCTGTTCCACCCAGCAGTTCCCTGAACCAGGCCCGGCTTCATCTTTGAACTTCCATATCGCTTCCAGCACGCGCTTGGATGTACGCAGGTAGCCCCAGAACATGAGACCATATAGCTCGTCAAGGGTGTTCATGATCCACTCGCGTTGGGCAGAGTCTTCTGACTCTGCGCCAGCCAAGAACAACGGCCAACAGATTGACTTGAACAGTGCATCTCTCGGCTTCAGATGCGAAATGTGATGAACCACGTCGTCGGCCAAAGCTGTAAGACTGACAATAGCGGTACCGCTTGTTGGGTCGAGAAGAGGGTTTGTAGAGGGCAAGACACGTGCGAGATAGATACAAACGGCCGAACGATGCGCAGAGGCGATGCGGATACGTTGTTGAATGTCTTCGAAGGGTGATGCAGGTACAAAATCAGATGACCATACAATTGGGTCAAATTCAAGGGCACGCCGCAGCAAGACACCCACCTGCTCCTCAATGTAAATGGGGGTATTGGTTCTGGAAGGGGAACCGTGAGAGTCTGGTAGCGCAAAAGACTCCAACATGATACGAAGTAGCGGCCCGGGGCAAGAGAGATAGTTGTTCGTCTCGGCGTAACGGAGGATAGGGTCAAGTTCAATCGTGTCTGGAATTAGTGCAGGCAGCGTCGTGAAGCTGAAAGTTGAACCAAGAATGTGAAATACCAAGAGGTCTGAAAGTATAGTTTGGCGAAGTCTGCTCATCGGGCGTTGAAAATACGGCGGCTTGCCGAGTAGCTGGATGAGCTTGAGAGCACCGTCCATGTGGACTTTCCATTTATCTCGACCGGATTCTACAAGGGCGTAGTTGACGAACAATAAGATCGTCATCAGTATAAAATCAATATTAGCAGTGTTCACGGAGGTGATGCTCTTTGCAAGCAACGACAGCGCCTGCTGTTTTGCTACAAGAGAATCTCGGTAAGAGGATTTGAGCGGGCCCCCAAAACGGCTTACAGCTTGGTAATAGGCCATGACAGTTGGACTCTGTTGCTCCTGGTAGGAGGATTGGCTCATGGGGTTGCTGCTGATGTTGAAGACATGGAAGGCGGAATTGGCGACAATGATCTGCAAAAGCAACGGATAGGCAGATGTTGCCGGTATGAGATCACGAATAGGGTTCTGACCAGGCCCATCGTAGACGACCATGACCTCACACAGCTGAGTTGCGAAATGATAGAGATAGTATCGTGAGTTTCGGTCGAGATCATTGAGCAGAGGGTCTGTCAATGCTCGATGAACATCCGAAATCATCTCCCGTTCGTTGCCCGAATCCATCTGCCGTCCTTGTATGGACATTCGATAATCGTCTATTACCGAATGTCCGGAAACTAGCTGATGGCTAGACCCCGATATTGGTGACATTTGTTGCTGCTCGTCTTGTTGCTGAGAAGGGCCCTGGTTGTCCCATACCAAGGCCGACATGCCCTGGGCCTTGGCTGATGCTTCAGGCGGATTTGCGTGTGCCATGTGGTGCTGCTCCATCTTTTCCTCGTAGCACTTTCCCATCATCTTGCCGCGACTGGCGACACCGCGGTTCCATACAAACAACTTCCCATAACCCAGGCATTCGGTTCCTGCTGATAGACATTTCTGGCAGCTTGGTAGAGACCGATCGCATCTCCAACGTCGCTTTCGGCAATTATGACAAGATTTGGTCGGCAGATTTAGGTGCGTTGTGCTCATTGGATGGGAGCCATGCAAGATGTGCTGGTGATTGACTGAATTGAGTTCTACGGGGTACGGCGCGGGGTGGATATGTTCTGCTCGTGGTGGATGTGGCCTGGGGAAACAGTGGCGCGACGGAGCTAACGGCTTTGGGCTTGGCGGCAGCGGCACTTTTCGTCACGTCAGCCTCCGTCTTTACTCATTACGTAGCGAGAAACTGCAGTGGACCAATCACATCCCTTTCATCTATGGCAAAGTCGTGATCTGAGTGTTTTCTACGTTCACGTTCCACCACCACACTAAACTCCAATCAGCAGCCAAGACACACGTTCTGCGGCAAAGGGTCCACCTCGTCACGGCTTAATTCATCTACGTCAGATACACCGCTGGCGTTTAACGTTGTGCTTCGGCTGTACATTCTACATTAGGCCGCTGCTTAGAAAATGCCTTTCTTTCTCGTTACCACATCGTCCACGGGCTTTGTGAAGTCCGGTCAAACTCAAGGTATTGAAAAGCAATGGAAGGAGTCATATAATTATCGGACATCAGAAGAGTTTTTTGTGCTTCTCCATCACTTACTTCTGACAAGTGTCGCCACGAGAACACTTCTCTGGCCACCGTACGCGTCTTGCACAGTTCAAGCATGACAACGCCAACGCTTCCAACAAGCCAACCCACCTTGGACCATGGCAACCTTACACCAGCACCTCCAAACTCGAAAGACTTCGCGCCACCAACAACGTTAGAAAAGGCCGAAGAAGGCATCAATATGCCCCGCCGAGTTTCATACAGCGAATCCGATATCGAACGCCTAGGTCGCGAGCGCCCACAAGCATTTGGCACTTTTCTTCAGGAGCTGGGCTTCTGTTTCGCCCTTTTGGGCTCCATGTTCATGTCCGAATACATGATCTCTGGGTTTACCATTCTCCTGCCCGACCTCGCTCGAGAGCTCGACATCCCCACCAAGGCACAAACATGGCCCGCTTCCGTCTTTTCTCTCGTCACAGGAGCGTTTCTCTTGCCCTTTGGCCGACTGGGTGACATTTTCGGAGGTTACCTAGTCTTCAATGTCGGTCTTGTCTGGTTCATCATTTGGTCCCTTATTGCCGGCTTCTCACAGAACTACATCATGTTGATTATGTGTCGGGCATTGCAAGGATTTGGTCCTGCAGCATTCCTTCCATCTGGCATCATGCTGTTGGGCTCCATATATCGTCCTGGTCCAAGAAAGAATCTTGTTTTTAGCCTGTATGGTGCATTCGCCCCTGTTGGTTTCTTTACTGGCATTTTCTTCGCGGGCATCTCTGCACAACTCGCATCGTGGGGCTGGTTCTTCTGGATCGGTACCATCATCCTCGTCGCTGTAAGCGTAGCGTCGTATTTCTGCATACCTAAATATAAGGTCGAGGCCAATCAAAAGGTTGAGGCACCAGTCAATGTTGTCAAGATGGATTGGTGGGGCACCGCAACCGTAGTTCCGGGGCTTGTCCTGGTAATCTTCGCACTTACAGACGGGAGCCATGCCCCACAAGGCTGGGCAACTCCGTACATCCCTGTAACATTCATCTTAGGCTGGATCTTCCTCGGTGCCTTCGTTTACATCGAAGGCTGGGTAGCTGAGCAGCCTCTCCTCCCCAGTGATCTGTTCAAGGTCAAGGGCATGAAACCCCTTGGACTGGCTCTCTTTTTCCAGTACGGAAACTTTGGCGTATTCATCTTCTATGCCAGTTTCTATATCAAAGACGTTGTCGGCGCGAGCTCACTCCTCACTGCCGCATGGTTCACGCCCATGTGCATCGGTGGCTTGATCCTAGCTACCATCGGCGGACTGGTTCTACACCTATTGCCCGGTCGTATCCTACTTATTATCAGTGGAGTGGCATTCATTCTCTCCACTCTTCTCTTCGCGATCCTTCCTGCACAGTTCAATTTCTGGGCCTGGATCTTCACCGCCATGATATGTGCTACTCTCGGCATCGACATTACTTACAATGTGGCAAACATCTTCATTACCACATCGCTACCAAAAGCGCGTCAAGGCCTTGCAGGCTCTTTCATGAACTCTATTCTATTTCTAGGCATAGCAGTGTTCTTGTCACTTGCTGATCTAGCAGTGAGCGAGACAAAAGAGAGGGGCAAGAGAGAGAGCTACAAAGTCGCCTTTTGGCTTGCTACAGGCATTGCGGCGGCGGCCCTCGTCATCATGTTTTTCGGTGTCAAGATTGGCAAGGCAAAGAGCGAGTTGACAGTTGAGGAGAAGGCGGAGCTGGAAAATGAATTGGTTCGAAGAAAAACTAATGAGTAGTCAGTTGACTGGACAGCAATAGAGTACAGTAGAATTAGAACAACTTAATCAACCTGGTTTATTCCAAAAATTCGCCGTTAGTCCTTGCAAGAATCTCATCGTAGTAACTCTGGAAAGCCAGCCATCCCTTCTCAGGTGTGCCTACTTGTTTGTATGTTTCAGCTGCTTCGCTTTCCGGTATGATCTTTGGCTTGTGCCCATTTCCGGCTGCGGCTGCGTCCACTAGAAGTTGCGCCTGGCAGGTTTTATCGAGGGACAAGAACCAAAAGGCTGCTTCGTCAACTGATTTTCCTACAGTGAGTATACCGTGATTCTGTAGTATGGCTGCTTTTCCGTCACCTGTTCGTTGTCAACGGTGTCAGCACAGTAGATTTTTTAGGAAAACACACCTAGCGCATCAGCGATTTTTTCGCCTTCTTCACTTGCCAATACGATGCCACCGAACTGGTTGTATACACTGTGACTCTTGTAAAAACGCACGCTGTCTTGTGTAATCATGTCCAGCTCTCTTCCAAAAGCACTAAATGCTTTTCCGTGTACGCTATGAGCGTGACATGCAGCATGTACTTCCGGCCGTCGCTTGTGTATTGCGCTGTGAATAGCAAATGCGGCCGCATTGATGGGTTGGTCACCTTCAACTACCTCGCCTTCTTCGTTGACCAAGATCAAATCCGAGACGCGCATCAAGGAAAAATGGGTGGAGAGCGGGTTGAGCCAGAAATGGTCGGTCATGATAGGATCGCGGACACTTATATGTCCTGCGACTCCTTCGTCAAAACCGCGAGAAGCAAAGACCCGATAAGCAGCGGCAAGGTGCTGTTTGCGGTATAGGCGCTCATCCTCGAGCCTTGTAAAGGTCGGATACTTGCGTACTTTCAATGATTTGCCTGCTTTGGTGCGACCCATAGCAGCGACTGTCTGGTTGTCGATTTCCTCCGCATGGTCGACACGTACTACCCCTGCTGCCACTGATGCGCCGTGTGGATTGGAAGACGTGACCAGGCATCGATTAGAGTACAATGAAGTAGATGCGCGCCGGAACTTGAAGGGACTAAAAGCTCGAAGCAGTGGACGGGACAGAAGATAGGTGGTAGACATAATAAGTATGGTAAACGAGTGTTTGGTTCGTAGGTAGTCGCGTTGCCGGTCGTCCCCCGCATAAGAGCGTGACCATTTCCCCGCCGGGAATAACTGCAACGGGTATAAGTAGTAAGCATGGGTAATACAGATACGCACCGCGTGCTATTGGCGATTAGCGATTTCATATGTGAGGAGAGGATGTACACGGTGTGACATGGGAAGTGGGTCAAAGCCTAATGGTTGTTGACATAACCAGTGTTGTCGACCAAGCAGACTTGTCATTGAGCCTGCATAACCACCGATCCAAAAGATGGTTACATGCAATTCATGCCGAGCGGATTCAACAATTGAGAACCACACGTTGAACCCAGGTAATAACTGAGCCTCCCTCTCCTTTGAATACCGCGTTTTGATCTTGCTTTCACTTCATTAACATCCTTCAGACCAATGTCGCGCACCACTACTGCACGGCGTTTGAACAGGCTACAAGGAGCCACGAGTCACTATTTGCTTCATTATGTACCATCGTATAAGCATCGTTCTGAAATTCAACTGCCTAATATCGTCTCTGGTCGTACAACTAGCTGTATACATATATTTTGATGATGAAATAACACTGCGTAGCAACGTGTGAACATGGGTATCATGATTTCTCTCTATATCTTTATTCCAAATTAGCATCTTCCTCTCCTTCAACTTCTCCAAATCATCATGCGCGTCTTCGATAATGGACTCGGTGTTGTCACGCCTTCTTCTGACTCCATCGTGCTTGCCTTTACTGCGCCTCGCCAATCATGTATTGCCCTCTAGTCTATTCCTTTCACTCACTACTTTTGCGCTTTGGCTTTTTGCTCGCTTCGCCTTAGCTGCGCTCTCACTTTCACCGCACCGTACCCTGATCTATATAAACATTGCCAGCGGCCTTCAGTTTCGCTTCGTATTCCACTACCCAACTGAACCCACAACCACGATATCACGCTCGTTAAGACCCTCTCCTTTCCAAAGCAGCCAAAGGTTGTGTCTACTACCTAGTAAAAATACACAATGAAGTGCTCCTTCGTCTTCATCGCGCTGTTGATAGCTTTTGCTGTCGCAAGTGTCCCGGAAGACGCCGCAGCTACCTTGGACTTGGGTAAGAGAATGTCACAAAGTGGCTTAATCATTCGCTAAGAAGTACCAGAATCATCTCTCACCACTCTTATCAGCAATGGTGTGCCTCTCTCAAATTCATCTGATCCTCAAATTCGGGGCACTTCTTTGGGGGAGTCACTCGCTGGCGATTCACAGCTTCAGGAATGGTTCAACCAATTGAATGAAGCCACGCGCAAAAACGAGACTTGGTCCGCTGGACATTATGTAGAGGCGGTCGATACTGATGATTCCCTCTCCAATGCAACCACTGCTGGTGCTGCCGCCGCGAAGAAGCCACTTCCTAACCTCGACGGCTACTACCGATTCGACGTCCGCATCGGCAAAGACGCAACTCACACCGGCACACTCCGCAAAGGCCGCATGTTCAAGCGCATGTACTCAGCCTTGAAGGCCTGCGGCATCGCCCACAAAAATCCCTCAATCCCCGGTTTCTGCAGCGACGACCGCCCAGAATGTCCCGACCATTGCCGTATCGAGCAAATCGTCTACTCCAAAAACGGCGAATGGGCGACAGACTCGCACGTTGCACTCAAGGTCAAGTTCTCGTACTTTGACATCAAGCATCACCCAAAGATCCAGGATCTCGGGGTACGTACACACATGCTGCAGCGAGTGTTAAATACTAGAAGACACGCTAACGAAACAATAATAGTTCCGCATCGTCGCCCGCGTCTTCGAACTCATGACTATGCAGGGTAACAATTGCCTTTTCCACGACTTCCCGTGGTCACGACGGACATTACTGTGCAGCGTAGCCGACAAGGTGGAGCTCGCTTTCCCCATCAACGGCGGTCTGATCCAGGGCGTCCTCAACGTCGAGCTTATATGGAGCAAGAAGACGGGGAAAAACACTTTCACGTGTCAGGGCAACACTGAGGGTGACGTCGACGCCATGATGTGGACCGACTTCCGCGACCCCCTTTCTGAGGCCATGGCCTGGCCCGCGAAGCAGATCCTGCCCTTTGTCTTCTGTGCAGAGGATAATTGCTTTAAGCAGGACCTCAAGATTGGCGAGCCGTGGCATGAGGGCAAGGGATGCAAGACTCTGGACTGGCCGGTTGGATGTGATCCGGATCTCACGGGGCCATCTAACCCAAAGCTCAATTGCCCACCACCAAGACGCCAGTAAAAGGTGTCCTTGGTCTTATACTGGAATCGCAGCACTTTCCTCGAGAGATAATGATAAGGCGAAATCCAGATTGATATGGTGAGATCAAGGCGAGATAGGATGGTCAATTTGAGGTGTGGATTTCCTTTGCGAATCTGATGGGCATTGAGCATCACTAGTTAGTTACCCATGGCTAGTACCTTAAGAATATGTGACTTACATTCCATCTGTTTGCGATCCTCATCCCGTGACTCTACCAATACCACTGTTCAAAAGGACTACACACCTTATTATCCTCTAAAAAACCAGCGCACTAATTACATCCCAACCATCTTCTCTGACAACTCCCGTATCTCATTCCAACCGACATCAATGCTCACAAAAACTATATGTCTGCCTCTGCCACCCCTCCTCACTCTTCTTGACAAAAGCACTCCTCTCACGCATAAGCTTCAAGCGATGCTCATTCGCCTCTTGTACAGTCATCGGCAGCGCAAACTTGTCCTGTTTGAGATATGCGCGCACAAAGTCCATGAGTTCTTCTGGGAGCCGGCATTCACGGTTGTTAGTGAGGCCAGGCCAACCGAGCTCGACAAGCAGCTCGACGATATCCGGGGGCAGCTCTTCCAGCGTGGCTTGTTGGGCTGGTTCGCTGGACCCGAAGATGGACTCTGTGTACCAGCTCATCTGCTGGGGCGGGATGTTCGCAGTTGAGATGATGCGTTTTGTAGGATCAACGAGCCACAGGGCGATGAAGCGGCGGTGGCCGGGTTTGGTGGGGTCAATGAGTTTGAAAGAGGAGACGCGATGCTGGCTATTTTTTTTGATTTGTCAGAATTGAGGGAACTCGTCAGCGACATGGCATGCACTTACAAGACATTGGGAAATGCTAAAAGGCGTCCCTGACGCGTCTGAACACTACCGTAGTTTTGTAGACGAGGACCATTGCCGCACCCCAATGCGGTACCGTAGATCTGCTCCAGCCAGTGGTATGCATCCTGACCTACTTCAAAATCCTCCTCAATGCCCTCGGGGATCTGCATGCGGAATGAGAGGCTGTCATCAGTTATATTATCACTATCCAAGTAATACAAGGCAGTGGCGCATATCTTTTCGTTCATCTGTCCCTCAACGTGCCATCCGCCAACTGGAAATTCCGGCTTTTCCGGCGTCAGTTCGATCGAGGCCATCTTGACAATGACCTGCAGTCCAGAAGCAGCGAATCTTTCGGCCAGAAGTTGACCAGCTTTCGGCGCATAATCGACCTCTTTGAAAGGAATTGCTGGTATCTTTGGTTTCCGAAGCGTCTCCCATTTGTATTGCATGTAGTCTTCTTGGCGTCTTTCTTCACGACTGGCGTAGAATTCTTCGTCATAGCCTCTTTCCACAAGCTCGCTCATGTCGACATCTTCATCAGCACAAGCCTCAATGTTATCAGGAATCCAAAGGTGCATTTCCTCATCGCTGCAGAAGATCCCAGGTCAGTTTATTACTAAAGTAAAGAACACCAATTGATGACTAACCTGACATCCTCTGGCCTATCAGCCCGTGGTGCAAGGCGACCGGCACCTTGACATTCGCCATAGTCAGTCGCCATCCGTAGACATTGATCCCACATAGGAATTGATGTCTCTATCAATCTCTCGATTATGCGATAGATATCCGGGTATTTAGTAGGGTGAAGGTTATTGATATAGCTAGTAAACTTGACTTTGCCACCTTCCCCGAAGGCCACGTTGGCTGGTAGCCACTGGTATGTATCTGACCAATATTCTGCCGGAATTCGATGGTCAGTGGACAAATCGTAATTTGGGAAGGATGGCTGGTTTGCGAGTGCTGTTTCGAGAGCATCGGATTCTAGTTTAGGGATAATGTCTCCCTTGCCAGCCCAACGCCTGATGGCGTCAGTCACACCGACTTTCTCTGCTCGGAATCCGCGGCTTCGGCCGTAAACAAGTGGGTACATTGAAGGATGTATCAAGTCCTGTACCATATCGCCCGAGTTGGGATGCCAGTCCGGGGAAGATGCACAATCAGTTTTGAGTTTGTCAAATGCAATGCGTAGATCTTCCTGGAGGCCGGCAGGCACAATGACATCAGATTTGGCAATTGAAGCTGATGCGTCGAGTGTAGGGATGATTCCAGTCAGCTCAAAGTACTTTGCTTTGCTGCGAAGTTCTTCGATACACTTTTAAGGTCAGCTGACGATCTAGATTCAATGATGATGATGACCCACACTCTGGAAAGTGGCCTCGTCCATGATATTTGTTAATCCGCATTCGAGGGAACTCGGGTTCTCAAAGACGGGTGGCCCATCGTCGTTGGGCCACATCTGTAACTTCGCGTAGGTTGCCAAGGTCCAGAAGTCGGCGTCCGGGACTGCAAGGGCTTCTTTGCGCCACTTTGCTACAATATCTTCGTCGAAAACTTTCCGATGCCAGTTTTCCTTGTCAGTCAGCTTTTCCATGACATCCATCATGGCAAGCTCTCGCACAGGCACGAGTTCAGACTCAGTTCCGGTACAATCGACGTGGGCGCCTATGGGATAAAAAGGGAATCGACTATTATCTAATATCCTCAGGGGACGTCCAAATCCAGGGTATTCATTTTTTGGTGTTGAGAGACTGTTCGAAGTATCGTGCGCCATGTTTGGGTGGGAGCGTAGGCGATGAGCGTCCTGAAAGCGAACGCAGATGATGAGTCTGTACAGAGATGAATGGCAAGGTATTGACGGAATTTATATCAATGCTGTTATATGGCCCTATGCCTGTACGCTGAGTGGTGTTGCTACGCTAGCGCAGGCAACTCTGGTGCTGCCTGATGCTCTAGGCCTGGTGCGGGGATTGAGACGCTTTGGTGCTTTTCGGGGCTAGCACTGGAGTACAGCTGGCAAGAAATTATGCATGGTTGCAAGACGGCACAAAGAATCAATGGGGGTAGGTGGTCCATATTCCTAATTTGAGGTATATCTGCTGGATGTGAGTGTAGTATATGTTTTGCTACTGAAAAGAGGCAGTTTGAAGTAATACATCAAAGAATGGTGCCTTCCGCCTAGTAGCACCCCTGACTTGTGCAAGTTCTCTCTTGGCACACCCCCACGTCATCATGACTCGAGCTGGCAACCCCCACATATGTACGTCTATTTGCATGGTGTTAAGCGACATAATCCTTTCCCTAGGCAGCACCACTACTACTCTTAAGTAAACGTCCATCATCCACCTCCTCATCATGCCCTCAGGCAAAACCTTCCCAGCAATAACAGGAGGCTGTGTCTGCGGCACAGTGCGCTACCGACTCCTCACCTCGCCTCTCTTCTGCTATGCCTGCCACTGCACCGACTGCCGTGCCTTTAGCGGCAGCGCATTCGGCCTGTTCCTCAAGATAGAAATGTATAATGTCAAAGTCATATCGTCCACACTGCCAGCGTTTGTCAAGATGAATAATCGGCGCGGGGACGTTGAAGTACATGCGGAATGCTCCACATGTCGGGTGCACATGTGGGTGACGAGCAACTTCCCTGGTGAAGAGGCTGTGTACGATGTGAGGGTGGGTACACTGGATTTCCCAGATCTCATGGTGCCCGATCTGCATATTTTTGCCGAGAGTAAGCTGGGTTGGATACGCTTGCCGGATGATGCACATACGCTGCCCAGGGGAGGTGATATGCACAAGTTGTGGCCGAAGAGCAGCTTGGAGAGATTGGAGCAGTGCAATAGATGGGCTGATAGGGTGAAGAAGAGGAAGCGTGCTGCGTTGGTGGAGTCACAGGCGACTGCGAAGAGTACGGAAGAAGGAAGCGGAGAGGAAACTGGGGGAGAAGGAGATAAGACACCTACCGCTCTCGAGTTCAGCAATGAAGATGACGAAGAGTTTGAGAAGAGGTTCAAAGAGAAGGAGAAGATTTTGCTAGAGCGGCTAGAGAAACTCCAGCTCAAGTTGAAGGAGGAGGAAGTTACAGCGGGCGAGCAGAAAGCAGTGGAGTCTGCCGAAACAGATGCAAAATAAGTTCAAGTCAGTTTGCAAAGGAATGGTTGGGCGGGCACTAATCATATGGACTTAAAAATATCACGGTGTGTATCCGAAATCCTTGGTAGATTCGACAATAATAATCTACATAATTTACATCAACCCCTAGGCTGTAGCGTTCTTGAAAGCATTCCGTACAGGCAAGAATGTCGGTATACTACTTTTCAGTGCCGGAGCTACACCTGATGGCTCAAAGCTTGACCGCAAGCCGTCGTGCATCTGGCCTCTACTTTGCAGAGCTTCCATGACCCGTCCAACATCGTTGCTCTTCTCAATCTCATACTCTTCAGCCGAGAGCAACAGAGTTTCTCCCCGCGCCCTGTTGATCTCCAGAGGCTCGTGCTCGATGGCATCAGGCCACTTTCCGGCCGCATAGAGGGCGTCTTGCATGTCAGCCCATTGCACCGAAACGCCATTGAGCGTGTAAGGTCTGACAGGGGTCTTCTTGAGGGTCTTTGGGAGAACCGAGCGAGCAATGTAGTGGTCGCGAGATTCTGCTTGGGCCTTTGCGTCAAAAGCCTGCTCAAGAAGGTCGATTTCACTTCGCTGTTGAGCGAGAAGTTGAGCATCCATTTCAAGATCTGATGCGGGTCGAGAAGGGTCTGGGTTTTGAAGTGCCTCGTCCAAAACTCGGGCTTTAGACCTTAATTCGTTCAACTTTGCCTCCGCACCTGGCTCTTGAGCAGGCGCTGCCTTTTTTGTGAGTTCTTGTTGCAGCTTCTTGAACTGTTCAGCTTTTCTGATTGCATATTGCAACTTGCCTAACCGAGTCTCGAGAGCTTCCTTGGTGGCCTTTAGGCTCTTCTGGTCGGCTTCACTCTGGTGATGCCTCATCTTGAGCTTCAGGTCCATGGATCGTATTTGGCCTTGCAGCCACTTGACGTTGTCAGTTGGCTTTTCCTTGGCCAAGCTCGCATTGGCTAGTGCATCAATTTCCTGCCAGCGCTTGTCTAGCACAGCAGTGGCCTTTTGTTCACGTTTTAGCAGCTCTTCTGCAGCCTGAATGCCATGCTCTTCTTGTATGCGCAGCACCTCTGCTAGATCAGCGCTCGTGTTGGCCCGCTGGTCCATAATCTTCTTGATGCGCTGCTTGCGATCCATAGAAACCATTTTCGGGTTCGTCTTGTCCCATGCAGTCTCGTGCAATTTCCGGAACTCACGCAGCTTGCGGAAGGCGCTATGGCCCTGGGCAGAGGTGGGAAAGGTAACGACACAGTGAGGGACCCATTCGTCTGGGCGCAGGGCAGGCGGCTTCGAGTGCTTGCCAATGAAGGGCAATTGGTCGAGGTGATGGTTCTGCAGATAATCAACAGCCAATCGATGCAGTCAGTGTGGGCGCCGTACGTCTAGTAACTCTTGAAGTGAGTAGATGACCTGGTTGGTCTTTGTGTTGCGGAAAATGTAGATTATTTCGCCATGATTTGCCGTGCCTTCTGGGTCCACCACGTCGCGCAGGGTGTAGGGCTTAATGGGGGCATTCACATGCTGTCCCGTCGCCTGGCGTCTGGCTTTTTCATTGACAACCGTTTGCAGGCGGAGGTGCTTGGGGTTTGACTGGCGCTGGACATAGGCGGCGACCCGCCTCTGCAGCAATTCCTCGTGGACGGGTGTTGTGCGTTTTGCAGCGGGGGCAAAAGAGATGGGCTTCAGCGGCGGCTTATACCGGAGCCGGGCGAGTGAGCGAGGCATGGCTGCAGCGAGTGTGGTCGAGGCAATGGGCCGGCAGACAGGCCAACGGTGGGCATGCCATGGACCCAAGCAAAGATGCGAGAATCATTGGGATTCGGTGCACGGGCCCGGTCCTGCGCGGAATTGCCAACGACTCGTGTGCAGCGCGACTCCTCCGCGTGCCTATGTCTGGTCGCAGTCAGCGTTGACGTTTACAACACACATGTATTATGGGCTGCGCCGATGCCATTGCTGATGCGCCTGCTCTGCCGTCCCCGCCCTCCCTCGCCCTCCACCATGCACCCATGAGACACCTGCTGCTGCTGCACTCGCTTCTCACCTGCCCGTCTCCGCGACAGGCTGCCTAAACATGGCCGGCGATCCGCTCACGACGGCTGGCCAGCCCGACCCTCGTCCACCACGCGAGCGCCCGTGGTTGCTGCCATACGTGTGTCAGACAGCTTCTGCCTATGGTTGACGTCGCTAACAAGCCTCCAGAACCGCAAGCTCCGGCATCTCCAAGGCATCACCATTCGCAACCTTACTCTGACCCCCAGCACTACAAAGCCACGCGGAAAGACTATTGACGATGAAGCCGTCCCCAGCACCTTCAAGTCGCCGGCAAAGGCGCTGGCATTGCGTGAGAGCAGGGGCCTGGCGCATTCCCGCTCATCCAGCGACCTCACCTCACCCGACGATGCCGTGCGGCGCAGCAATGGCTTGCGCGACCCCACGACTCCCCAGAAAGCAAATAGGCCGGTGGCCGGGAGGGGCCTGCGTAGGCGCTCTACAATGGAGTGGACCAATGCGAGCCCATTGACTCGCCAGAATAAGCTGGAAGACATCACTGCTGGGCGCATGGCCGACACCTTCTTCTCGCTGCACGTCGAGGACCGGACGGACCCAATTTACATTTCTGAGGTCGTCGACAAGGCTATGAACCCAAACTTCAAGTTTTTCGATCTTGGCCCCTGTGGACCGGGTGTCACGCGATTGGACACGCTCACAATCAGGGTGTGGGCTAAGAGCGAGACGATGCAGAACTGGCAATACCTGCTTGACTATACTGTACAGTTCCGGTCGCTCCAGTTCATTGGCAAGACCCTTGAAGGCTTCAGACACCCTCTTCCACAGAACTGTGTGCTCTTCTATATGACGGACGGCATCTATACTAGCTTCACAGACCTACCAGTGCAGCAAAGGATGCGACCAGAACTTCTTGCACCGCCCAAAGAGAATCCTGATGGTCGAGTGCTTCCATCTTCCTCTTATGATGCCCTCATGAGACTATCGACGCTCGACGACTGCATACAAGACGCACTGACTACGCGAGACCGGATTGCTGACGAGATTGAGGGTATACTCATATCGAATAAAGAGGATATATTCACAGTGGAATCGGTAGCTGAGACGGAAGAAAGCTTGCGGACAGTGCAGGCCGCGGTGACAGCCGAAAAACGACGTGTTGCGGCTGTGCGAAGAAGACGTGACGAGCTGCAAGCCAACATTCTGGACCGGCGAGAGAAGATGAAGGCTGGGAGGGAACAGCAATTGAAAGCGGAGAGTGAAATCTCTGAACAAAGAGCCAATATTGGCCAGACTAAAGAGCTTTTGGAAAAGACTCTAGAAGATATTACTGGCCAACGACGAAGGGTGTGTGAAGACTTGCTGAGAATATTCCCGATCGAGCCTGTGCCTGGTAAAGCTCTGACGTTTACAATACGGGGGCTTTTGCTGCCAAACTCCATTTTCGAGGATGCAAAGGAAGACGTTACTTCTGCAGCACTGGGCTATGTGGCCCAAGTTGTCAATTTGCTCTCGCCCTATCTGTCCGTCATGCTGCCGTATCCGGTATCGTTACACGGGTCAACGTCGACAATTGATGATCCACTGGCTATTTCACAGAATCAACAAAACCACCAACGTACCTATCCCCTCTACATGAAGAATGTCGTGAGGTACCGATTTGAGTATGGTGTGTTCCTTCTCAACAAGAACATTGAGATTCTCTCAAACTCGCTGGGACTGCGGCCACTGGACATCCGCCACACGTTGCCAAACCTCAAATATCTGCTGTATGTGGCCACGGCCGGCAAAGGCGAACTACCAGCTCGCAAGGCGGGCGGAATCAAGGGCCTGTTGCGACAGGATGGTGTTCTCTCGCGAAAGGGAAGCATGGATAGTACCATGACTGCGAGCAGTGTTGGCACGCCCACGATTGAAGTGAAGAGGAGTCTGGAGATTGCTGGGAAGAAACTAGAGCAGGCTAATGGCACGCCTGTACATGGTATGGGGACACCGCAGCACAAAACTAATGTGCATCCTGGAAGTCGGCTTAGACCGTTGGAGTGAGCGTTGGGTGGCAAGCAGCGTATTCATGTTGTATGATACGTTGTAGCGAGGTAGGCCTGATGACTGTTTAGGTATGCATAGCGAGGGTGGTAAACCGGCGATCACTGTATTTTTATATTAGGCTAGTCTCCGATGTCCTTGATTTTTTGTCCGATAGTAATGGCCATTATCCTGGTCATGGCTTTGTGCTTTGGCTAGTATTACCTACAAGTCCCTTGCACTTGCATGGCTCGTGGTAGACGGGCGGGACTGTTGCGGGCCGGGCCTCGTGTCCGGGCCTCGTGTCCGGGCTCCAGAAGGTCAAGTACTCACGATTGTGTCTGGGCCATAGGCATGGCAGTTGTCAAGGGAGGATTTGGCGATACCGATGCTGACATAACCTTACCCCTGGGCGGCATCGCGTAGGAGTAGTCGATCGGCGCAGATGCTTCGTATTGCGCGGGAGTGTCACGGGCCCCACTTGTGGCCGGGAAATTGGCAGGGAAAGGAGTCGGTCGCCCGACGACAACTTTTGCTTGCATCGTCTGTGCCCACAATAATAACTCCGGTGGATTGCTGGCGGCCTCACATTCCTTGCGTCCAGCATCTCTCGGCCTTGGTCTCCTTTGCACGTGGTTGTTTGGACGGTACTTACATTCGCATATATAATCACGGGCTTACCCAATCCTTCCCGCAAACCCTTGTGCGCTGCCCTCCCGCGATTGCTTATTACTTCGGCTTCACGATGACGGAACCGTTTCCTCCGCTGAATGGCGGACTGCCGCACAATCCTGCCCCTCAAAGCGCACCCAGGCGCCGAAGGAAATCAAGTGCCCTCGGCGCTGACGTCCCTGGCGATGTTGACGTCCCGTCCCTGGCCACATATCGATCTGTCACCCCTCCGCTGCACAGCCCAGTGACCATGGACTCGGTATGTGTTGTACCCTTTTTCTGCACAAAATTGCCATGACGGGGAACCCCACGTGTAACTGACAAGCCTGTCAGAAATCAGACAAGTCGGGACGCCGCTCAAAACGAAAGACGACACGTCGATACCTCTCAAAGGCAAAGCGAATGTGCATTCGGCACACCTGGTTGCTCCCTCTCGTCCTCACCCTTACCATTGTATCACTATACCTCGTCTACCCTTACTCGTCCAATCCGCTGTCGGCCTGTCTCTTCCTGTCATACCCACTCGCACGCGACGACCCCCTCATCCCCGCCCACGTGCGAGCCGACCCCAATGCGCCCCTACACTATGGCAAAGGCGGACGGGATTTCGCTTTCGTCGGCTTCTACACCATTGTCCTGAGCTTTACCCGCGAGTTTTGCATGCAGCGTCTCATCCGCCCCATTGCCCTTCACTTTGGCATCCGCAACAGGGATAAGCAGTCGCGTTTCATGGAGCAAGCATACACTGCTCTTTACTTTGCTATCTACGGTCCATTTGGCGTATGGATCATGTCGCGTACTCCGGTGTGGTACTTTAATACTACTGGCATGTACGAGGGATTCCCCCACCGAACCCATGAGGCAGTCGTCAAGGCGTACTATCTGCTGCAAGCTAGTTACTGGGCCCAGCAAGCCATTGTGCTCATGCTGATGCTCGAGAAGCCGAGAAAAGATTTCAAGGAACTGGTAGCGCACCACATCATCACTGTCAGCTTGATTTGGCTCAGCTACCGCTTCCACTTTACCTACATAGGTATTGCTGTGTACATTACCCACGACATTTCCGACTTTTTCCTCGCCGTAAGTCCTGCGTTTCCGTGATCAAGCTGTAGAATCGACATACTGATATAAAAAAATGTAGTCGTCCAAATGCCTAAACTACATCGATTCTCCGATTGTCACGCCGTACTTCTTCGTCTTCATGCTCGTTTGGGGATACGCCCGCCACTACATCAACCTCAAAATCATCTGGTCCATCCTCACCACTTTCAAAACCGTCGGTCCCTTCGAACTCAACTGGGAAACGCAACAATACAAGTGCTGGATCAGTCAATACATCACCTTCGGCCTCCTTGCTTCCCTACAAGCCGTCAACCTGTTCTGGGGCTTCTTGATTTGCAGGATTGCATACCGCTTTGTGGTGTACAAGGATATGGAGGATGATCGTAGCGAGTACGAGCCGACGGATGATGAGACGGAGGCAAAGGAAAAGTTGATCAAGGAGGATGGTGCGGACAAGGAGACGAAGTCGCAGATGGAGAAGGTGGAGCAGATGGCGCCTGTTACGCCTGCTCCGGCGCATCCGGTGGCGGTGGAGCAGGATTCAATTGGGTCGAGGGTTAAGCAACGGAAGAGTGGGAAGCATTGATTTTGCGCATGGAAAGGGGATATATGAATGGCGGTGATGATGGGAATGAATAGGATTGGGTTTGTGGGGGATTAAAGGGTATTTAATGGTGACGAAGGGGGTGTCTTTTTTCTTGGGGTTGAAGATGACGAGGTTTGGTGTGCGGGAAGAATGGCAACTTAATGAAGGCCAAAAAAAAAGGAGGTGGGTTCTTTTTTCTTCTTCGTTACATTCGTTGCAAGCACGTGGTCTTGTTGAATGATTGAATGGAACAGGTGGTGGCGGTGTTTTTTATATGAGAATGTAATTTAGAATTCGGACATAGTGGCATGTTTAATTCTTTGCTTCTCTTGCGTTGCTGGCCTTGGTGGGATGAGAAATGTGGATATGG